AGAGTAATGAGGCCGCGCGTCAGCCGCGCGCCCGCCTGATCGAGTCCCTCAACGGATTGCTAGACTCACTCCAATAGACGGCGTACTTTGACCGTTCGAAAAGCGTGTCGAGAATGGTCGTCACACGGCTTATCAACCTTCTGATGCTCGTGATCTGCTGAAGGCTAGCTGCACATCGCTTCAGCCCAGAATTGACCCCCTCTGAAGCCGTTGTAATCGTGTGGCCATGTTGCGGAAACGAGTCGATGAACAGCGTTGGCGCACACGTGTGCGTTGCATAGCGCTTCGCCCCCGCCGGTGCGCAACTCACGGGCCCCGAGTGGAAGCGGTCGACGACGAACAACATAAACTTGGCCAACTGCGGCACCCGATTCAAGAACCACTCCTGGGCGTTGCAAGCGGCGTCCTCCACGATCGTGAGCCCCCGCAGCGTCTTGAAAGGGAACCGCGTTAGAAGCACCGTCCCAAGGTCCGAGACGGATTCGCCCCCCTTGAGCCAGTGATACCCCAAGGGAGCTCGGTCCTGGCAACAAGCAATAAACACCCCCGCGCGCCCCTTTGACGATCGAGGGTTGGGGGCGCTGCAGTGCTGAGTGAGCCGCTCCTCCGAACCCCTCTTCCCCCGACCGGCTTCGTCTTCCCAATCGACGAACCGAGGCCGACCGTACAGCAAGGGATGAAACGAGTAGGTGGAGACGGCGCCGACCCGCTCAACGTAGGCCGCCGATGGCACTTGAAGGAAGCCGCCCTCTCCATAGCACTGGGGCTCGCGGACCTCCAGCTCGAACAGGAGCGAGTTGGCGACCCTCTTGAGCGCCGCCCCTCGCTGCTCCGCGTATTCCATCGCGGCCGCCTCCAGCTGACCGATGAGCCTCAGCCTCTCGCCTTCGATTGCCCACAGATGCTCGGTAGCATCATGGAGGGCGGCCAGTGGCGATCGCGAGGACGGACCCGGCCGGTTCGCGCTCGGCTCAAAGCAGAGGAGATTCGTGGCGTAGATGTCACGCACGAGGGGGCGGAGCGCCGCCGGAAAGGTATACAGCCCCCCAGCAACGGGATGGAGGCGCAAGATGGCCGCCACCATGGGGCCGTCGTTGGAGAGGTACGCCAACCCCCGCTCGTCGAGCGGCCCCTCGAGCAGCGCGTGTCTCAGCAGCTTCAGAGTGACGACGCGCCCAAACACCCAGGAGTAGCGAGGGATGAGCAGGGCGTGAAGAAGGGCTCCGTACGCTTGAAAGTGCGTCGGACACCAGCCGGTCGGTCCCACGGGCCCGTCCTTGAGGAACCCTTGCATCCACGGCCGCCGCGGCACCGCCTTGCAAATCGCACACGTGGCAGGGTCGCGACACGCTCCCGACTCGATCACGAGGTCGATCAGAGCGGCAACGTTCATCGGAAGCCCCTCCCGCATGGCGACAAACTCCTCCGGCTTCAGAGGCGCGTTGCTCCCTTGCGCTGGAGCCTTGCGAAAGTTGCACCACCTCATCGCCAAAACTCGCACGGCCGGCCGCAACTCCGACAGCCCGTTGCGATACTTCCAAGGGCAGTCGATCCCCTCTAGCGGCACGTCAGAGGGACGCACACCACCCACGCTCAGAGGAGTAAACCCTCCAGCGACCTTCGGCGCTCCGGGGTCGGGCTCGCAGATGCTGTGCAAGGACGCTTCCGTATCAAAATCGCGCATCGCGCTCGAATTGGCAAAGAAGGTGCCGTCAAAGGTGATGACCTTGTCCCGCCCAAACGCGTACGTGGCCAGGTCAGAACTCGGCCCCTCCGTTCGCTCCGGCCTCAGAGGGTTGCCAGCCCTAAGGGCCTCCACTTCGACCGCCTTCACCTCGCACGTGTAGAGATGCGCGCAATCGAGGCGCGAGCACACGTGCTGGATCCGAGGCCGGGCGGCGAGGTCGTTGAAGGCCTGCATCGCCGAGTCGAACACCCGGTCGTCCAGCCTAGGGACGTTCGGCCCCTCGAGGCACCTCGTCGCCATGTCCCCCGCCTCAAAGTTGAGGCTATGGGCCGCCCCCAGGGCCGCGGCAAAGTGGTTGCGCAGGAGGAGGCCGTGCGAGACGAGGTTGTTGCCGGAGAAGTTAAAGATTCCATCCTCCTGCAAAGATACATTTAGAAAGGCCGTTCAATTGCCGCGTTCAAAGTAGTCTTTTTTTTAAGAGGTTGATATCAGCTGCATGGACGTCAACGCCAAGTTTGCATCCGTGCTGAACATCATTGGAGAGAATGGAAAGCTTGAACTTGAGGACTTGGCTGCTTCGGCATGCACGTGCAAAGATGCGCAAGCCTTTGTTGAGAGCAGGATGCATGAATAGCCGCTTTCATTCACAGGATTCGAGGCGGGACCACATCCGTGCATAAAGAGCAAGAGGCCTCTCGAAACGTGCATGCTTTGTGAAAAGGACTGTAAGTGCGTTCAATGGCCTTTTCCTCCACACAAGGGGAAAATGATTTGTCGGATTTATATTCACTACGATTACGACATGCTCGGCTGCCTGACAGCCGTTGAAGCTAGGCGAAAGTACCAAGTGAAGGACCTTTTCGGTTTGCCATGTGTCCCCCATCCCGGGCCGGGCCATCTTCGTCCGCGCACACGTGGATACTATCGCAAGTCGGACGTGCTCGCTCAAGCGATTCGAGAGAATAATGGAATTGATGGCTTCAAACAGGCTCGCGATGCCTGGAGGAGGAGAGTGGTGGCTCAAAGAAGAAACCATCTCATAAAACATTACAAGGAACTCGAAGCTTTGGGGATGAACTTTGACATGCAAGCCTTTTTGGCGGGCCTCAGTCTTGCGGATTGCATAGACCTTCGGCCGACTCTTGACTGCTCCAAAGCCAGGGACGAGAGGGTGTTCGAAGAAGAAGCTGATGTGCAACTGTCTTTGCTATGCAGGTGGGTGCCGCAAGAGGGAGAGATGGCAGATGACCAAATCAAAGATCTCGACCTCCGATATACAAACAACCCATATACCCGACTTGAGCGTTGTGAGCAACCCCCTCCACTGTCAACCAACACATCGTATGCCGACTTTAAACGGCGAGCCCCCTTTGAAGATTTCCATCATAGAGAGCTTCATGGGAAGTATATATTCACCTGGCCATCATAAGCGATTGAGCAGCAGGCCGCCTCCCGCCCCGGGGCGATGCGACAGACACGTCGGTAAGTAGTGGTATCATAGCGTGCTCCAGCCGTCGTCAGCGCCCCCCTCCTGCTCTCCACCTGCCATGGTCGGCCGCAGGGCGAGAGCACCTCGACGGGTCTTGGAGCGCAAAAATGCTTTGCCTTGTCCCGTCGTCGCACACCTTCTTCGCCCCACCGTTCACAAAGGCTTGCAACACTCGCTCCGCCCCGGCTCATGACGGTGTCAATTCGCTTGTGGCTGTGGCCCATGTCGAGCGCCGCCGCCGAGAGGCACTCCCAAGGCTCGAGGGTCTCTCGGTGGGTGCACGCAGCTTTTGAGTCCGGCCGCCGGCACGCGGGGTCGTTACAGACCAAGAGCCTCCTCGTCCCTGCTTCTCGCTGCTCAACCCTTTCTGCCCGCCTCTCAGTGAGAGTCCGCCTCCCCTCGCTGCCGCCTCCATCATTTGCGCGCTCAACCAGGGGCAAGGTTTGCTTCGAGAGCACCCCCAAGAGGTGCCGGCACCGCTCTGAACCCGTGCACTCGATGTCGCTGCAGTGCGCCTTCTCTCCCCAAAGCACGCATACCACGGGCTTCTCCCCAGCGTTGTTCACGACGATCACTCGAAGTTGCGGCCCCCCTTTCCAAGCCTCCGCATCAAGCCCAAAGAGAGCAGCCCCCAAGAACCCCCCTTGTTCTAGCGGCGACACCCAAGGCACGCCGCTTGTGACCTCCCGCACGAAGGGACGGCTCTCGTCAAAGGCCGTGAAGATGGCCTCCCCGCCCTGCCACCAGCCGCTCACGGAACGGGTCGCCTCCAGGAACCCCACCTCGTGGTCCCGGCACGCCTTTTGACCGCACAGGCACCGGAAGTTGCCCATGTGGTCGACCTTCACGAGTCGAGGGACGTTACTGAGCCCTCGATCCGTGGCAAAAATGTCCAGGAGGCGCCCACCGGAGGCGTCTAGCAGGGGCACAAGAAAGAGGCCGGCGGCAACTGCAATCGGAGGGACTTTGCTTCGGCTCAACTCCGACAGGAGCGCCACCGTGCCGAGCTCTCGTGGGCTGGGCCCCTCCTCAAGCGCCCTCTTGACACCGCGCCTCAATGGAGCGGCCGCCTTGGGCTCACGGCAGTACGGGCAGGGGGCGAGATCCCTCCTTTGCACGAAGAATTGGTGGCCGCCCTCGCTCGCCTCCTCCCCCGACCGTACCTCCCGAACCTCCTTCGTGCTGGGGAACACTTCGTACTTTGTGAAGAGCTCTTGCTGAGGAACAGGGCCTCCGGTCGCGCTCGAAACAAAGGGGCTCCCCTCTTTGTACTGGGCCTCCACGCACCGCAGGCACAGAAGGTGCCCCCCACCACCCCGGCAAATGACTGCTCCGCCTCGGTTTCGTTTCCGCTCCCAGATGAAGGGTTCGCTCCCCCGAGCATAGACCGCCCCCTTTCCGCCGCACGTGCGCCCGATGCACGTCGAGCCAAATCCGCCTCGAGCAAAGGCCCCAGCGGGCCGCAAGCTGAAGGCGAGTCCGTAGTCGATTGCGAAGTCGGCGGCTCCCTGCTTGGCCGCATAGGAGAGGCGGCCTCCTCGCACGCCCCCAGCATTCGGCAAGGGAGGCACAGCCGCCGGGACGCTCTTGATGTCGCTGAAGACTGGAGTCGGTCCTTCGAAGTGGACTGCCGCACAACTCCTGACGGCTTGACCGGCTTTCAGGGTCTCGTGCAGGGCCGCCGAGGCCGCTGGGGTGGTCGAGGCGATGATCACGACCCCGGAGTGTCCTTTCTCGTCACAGCACGCCGTCACGAGAGTCATCCTGGGACCGGGGAGAAAGCTTTGAGTTTGAGTAGGTTTCGATGGCCCTAAGCCTCTGCGGCCCCCCTGGAATCTGCTCATCATGCCAGAGTTACCAAAAGTTGCACGTCATGTGGCCCGGTGGCCGTCCCGACGCTGGTCCACAACTTGCAGATGGCTCCTAACCCGATTCTCAATAAAACTACTTGCAACGTGTGGTCCACCAGGCCAGCCTACTGCTTGCCATATGCTTCTGGATGGCCGGGATGGCCGGCCTGACTTACGAACGTGCTGGACCACACCTTGCATACGGCTCTTACTAGCAAAGAGCGGAATTCCTAATAATTTTTGACAACGTGTGGTCCAACCCAAAAATGCTTCGTCACATGCTTCTGAATGGCCCGGATGGCCGGTCTTACTTATAAACGGGTTGGACCACACCTTGCGTATGGAAAAGAGCGAAATTCCTAATAACTATTGACAACGTGTGGTCCACCAGGACCGAAAGTGCTTGACATATGCTACAAAAGGGCCCGGATGGCCGGCCTGCCTCATAAGCGGCTGGACCACACCTTGCATACGGCTCTTCCTAGCAAAGAGCGGACTCTCCTAATAACTATTGACAACGTGTGGTCCACCAGGACCGAAACTGCTCGCCACATGCTTCTATGATGGCCGGGATGGTCGGCCTACTTCATGAGCCGCTGGACCACACCTTGTATAAAGCTGGGCCGCCTGGCAAAGAGCTTAATTCACACGAATCTTTAACGTTGTGTGGTCCAAAGGGACCGGACCAAGACTGCTTGCCATATGCTTCTGAATGTCCGGGATGGCTGGCCTGACTTGCGAACTTTGGAACGGGCCGGACCACACCTTGTATAAAGCTCGGCCAGGCAAGGAGAGGAGAAATCTTAAGAATCTTTGACGACGTGTGGTCCATCAGGACCCGAACTGCTTGCCATATGCTTCCCAAGATGGCCAGGATGGCCGGCCTGACTTGCAAACTTTGAAACGGGCTGGACCACACCTTGCACATGGCTCTTCCTAGCGAAACATCCGGACTTCTTAAGAATCTTTGACGACGTGTGGTCCAAAGG